ATTCTTCAAAGATTCATACATGTCCTCCACTGAGCTACGGAAATCTCTACAGCACAGATTTAATCCTTTCTCGCTAGCTTTTTTGGTTTTGTCCAGAATCAGAATAGAGCTGAAAGGGACTTTGGAGGTTTTCTAGTCCAGCCCCTTGCTCCAGCAGGAGACCCTACCCCATTTCAGACCAGTGACTGTCCAGTCTCTTCTTAAAAACCTCCAGTGATGGAGCACCCACAACGTCTGAAGCGAAGCTGTTCCACTGGTTAATTGTCCTCACTCTTAGGAAGTTTCTCCTTAATTCCAAGTTGATTCTCTCTTTGATTGGTTTCCATCCGTTGCTTCTTCTCTTGCCTTTTAGTGCTTTGGAGAATAAATTGATCCCCTCCTCTTTGTGGCAGCCCTTCAAATACTGGAATGCTATTATCATGTCCCCCCTAGTCCTTCTTTTCTCTAGATTAGCCAAACCCAAATCCTGCAACCGTTCTTCATATGTTTTAGTCTCCAGGCCTTTAATCATCTTAGTTGCTCTTCTTTGTATTTTTTCCAAAGTCTTTTTTGTCATGTGGTGACCAAAACTGGATGCAGTATTCCAGGTGTGGTCTTACCAAGGCTTTATAAAGCACTTTAGCAACCGTAAGATGGATGGACTCCAACTCCCAGAATTCCCTAAGGTCTGGTTTCTCTAGATAAGACCCTATGGTTGCTGGAGCTCAGTGGGTTAGTTTAACCAAAGTTTTAAGCCAATATTTCTCAACTTTGGCAACTTTAGGATAGGTGGGCTTCAATTCCCAGAATTCCCCAGCCCTCCATAGCCATTGTAATTGGTTGGGGAATTCTGGGAGTCCACTGATCTTAAAACTTTCCCAGGTTGGACAACCCTGGTCAACTCACTTCTGGAGAGGAGGCAAAATCCAGCAGCGTGTTAATCCTCACTTTTGGTTGCCTTGTGAATAAGTTGTTGTTCCTAACTGGATTTTCTCCATCTAGGCAAGTATTTTTGGCGACTGACTCGCAACAAGCATCTGGTGAGCCTTCAGCCAGCTCAGATCCATCGTTTCTGGAAGGGACTGCCTCTCAACTTGGATAGTGTGGATGCGGTGTATGAGAGGACCCATGACCATAAGATAGTCTTCTTCAAAGGTAGAAAGAAACATTTCCCATGCTTTTCATTTGTGACTCTCCTTTCCCCCAAATGTTTGGTTTCCCCACTGTGTTGAAAAATTTGTTTCATTCCTTACTGGAGATTCATATTGGAGGTAGTTTTCATTTTCTTAATGCCATGTGAGTTGATGCCATCTGTCATGTCCCCGTGGGGGTCTAGATCTATGGGGGAAGATGAGCTGGAACAAGAGCCAACAGAGATCGAGGGGGTTGGCTCCATAAGCCTTGGAGGAAATTGGGGAAGGGCAGAGTCAGTCCGGGCAAGGCTTTTCCCGATCCTAGAGCAAGGAGGGAAGAGAGGAGGTGAGAACAAGGCAGACTGAGCCAGCTACTTGGGAGGAGAGCGCCCCACCCACTCCTTCACAAGGCACAGCTGGGGACTGAGATCTAAGGAGGTAGCAGCGGGAGAGGTATTTGTCAGGAACAAGCATTGAATCTGTGGAGCCTCATGTGCACTTGCCAAAGTGTGTTCTGTCTTGTGGGCTTGTCCGGTTTGCCTACTTCACGGAACTTCTGGGTCTGGTTACTGTTTGGCTAACCTTGCTAACTGGACTTCTTGCCTTGGTTACTCTTTGGTTAACCTGGCTTATTGGACTGATGGTCCTGGTTACGGTGTAGCTAATCTTGCTTCCTGGACTACTCGCAGCCAGAGGCTGTTGAAGGTGCATGTGAGAGCTTTGCTCCAGAACTTATAGTAAACATGGGGACATTTGGGAGCACAGTTGGAGCAATAAAGGAGAGTTCATCCTGTTCTCTGGTTGTGTTGCTTTTGTGCCATGCACCAGGTCGCCCCCACCGTCCTAGACTTAGGCCATTCTGGTCCAGGTTGGCTGAAAGGAGGGAGAAGTGGTTGCTTACCTGCCTCTTTCTTCTCCCCAGGAGACCGCTATTGGGTGTTCAAAGACAATAACGTTGAAGAAGGTTACCCTCGGCCCATCTCGGATTTTGGCTTGCCCCTAGGAGGCATCGATGCAGCCTTTTCCTGGGCTCAGAATGACAGGACCTATTTCTTCAAAGACAATCTCTACTGGTGCTATGATGACCACCAGCAGAGAATGGATGCAGGTTATCCTTTAGAAAGCACGCTGTGGAAAGGCATTCCCAGCCAGCTGGATGACGCCACGCACTGGTCAGATGGTGAGTTTGGATGTTCAGAGAGCTTCTTTTGAGACCAGCTTTGCTGGAAGTAAGGAGAACACTTGGAATATCTCCCAATTAGGCCAGAACACCAATATACATATAGATGGTCCTTGACTTATGTCCACAGTTGGGATCAGAATTTCCATTGCTAAGCAAGGAAGTTGTTAAGTGAGTCGTGCCAAATTTAAGACCTTTTTGTTACTGTTGTTAAACAAATCACTATAGTTGTTAAGTGATCACACAGCCGTTTCAGCTTCATTGTTGTTTACCTACAGACAGAATCTTGCCAAACTAAAGCAACTATCTGCAATAACTATATATATATACTACTAGGGAGGGTTTGACTTTGCTTTCCTCCTGCCCTCCAGATATTCCAAGCTCTGCTGCTTCTCACCCCTCTGGGAAAGAACCCCTCCCCTGGGACTCCAGACTACATTCCACCACATTTATTTCTGTAAGCTGCCCATATTCAGAGTGAGCAAATTGGGTGGCCAGAAAAAAACTCTTAAGCAATAAAATAAATATATCTCTGCCACATCATAACTCTCCTTTAAGCCTTCAATGCCAAGATGCAATTCTTTCTCTCTCTCTGAGGAGTCCCTGGTGTTGTTTTCTTGCAGATGTTTCATTACCCAACTAGGAAACATCATCAGTGCTAGAAAGGAGTGTGGTTTACAAAGAGAGGAGGACTTTGGGTCCTTGTTGCTGTCTGAGCTTGGTTGCTTTCTTGCAGATGTTTCATTGCCCAACTAGGTAACATCATCAGTGCTCAAAGGAAATGGGGTTTGCTCTTGATTTATATTCTAATGGTTTGCCCTGTCAATGTTGGTGGGAGTGGTTTTAGAGATTCTTTGGCTGGGCTGCTTACTGCTAGTTCCTTGACCAGGGTCTTGTTTACTTCTTGATTGTTGCTCTGATAGTAATCTTGGAGTTAGTCTATGCTCATCTGGGTCCTGATATTATCTCCTGTGCACAATATGTACATATTATTTATGTGTCTGGAGGATCTATGACAATTCACCAGAGCCAACTTGTCACAGCCAACTCGCCATGGCCAACTCGCTGCGGGACAAGAGTTTCACTGATATCAAAGAAATTGTGGAATAGAATAATTAAAGAAAGGATGCCAAAGGAGGGACAGAATACAGTGTGAATGACAAAAAATAAAATATTTTTTTATTTAAGTAGCTCAATGGAATTGTTAAATTCTCCTGCAGCGAGTTGTCTCATGGCGAACTGGCTGTGGTGAGTTGTCTTGAGGTGAGTTGGCCATGGCGAGTTGACCATGATGAGTTGGTTGTGGCGAGTTGTCCCGTTCCATGCCTGGCCACAAACTTTTTGTCAGCTTTGGAAGCCATATTAGCCCCAGAGGCTTCCATGCTGCCACATTCTTGAGCCTGGGAAACTGGGAGGGGGGAATTTCTTGGAGTGTATGTGGTTAGACACAGTAGCATTCTTTCTCTAAGTCAAGGGCATGTTATTTCTGCACCTGGTTGAGAGGACCTCTCAAGTTGGCATGGATGGAGATTGGGGCATGTGATGCAATGATGGGTGCAGGGGGTGGATTTTTTATTTTTTTACTTATTGCAAGGAAACCCAGAACTTTCAGATTCGGGATTTCCCCGATGTGCCAGTTTACTACTCTAATAAAAAGAACCTTGGAGACGATGCCTGTCTCGGAGTTATTGGTTGGAGTGTCAAGCCCGAAATTATTTAGCCTTATTAGGCTAAAGGAATATATATTCCTTTTCCTTTCTTTTTCTTTGCTGGTTATGGGGGGAAGGGTTTCTGGCTTGCCACATTCCTAAGGTGGAAGGAGTGGAGATAGAGAGAGATGTTTAGGCTAGGAGGTGTTTCTTCCCGTGGGAACGAAAGCTGACCTTGCTGAGACCTGGAGGTGGAGATTGATGACACCAGGCAACGTTGATTTACTTTTATTGGAGAATGTGACATTTAGGGGTTGTTTCTAACTTCCAATATTATGTGGTGTAATACCGGGTTGTGTCAGATCCGGAATTACAATAAACTTTGCCAATTTGATGTTATTCTAAACAAAAGAAATTATTATGGAAGACGGACTTTGCCGTTTTCCTTTTGAATAGATTTCATCACTTGGAAACCTGCAATGAATTGAGGTTTTCTGGGATGCTGACACTTTCTTTTTCTTTCTTTCTTTCTTTCTTTCTTTCTTTCTTTCTTTCTTTCTTT